CGTATTTCCGGTAGCGTAAGGGTCTACGGTGGGGTAAGTAAATCGTTCGAAACCCGGAGCGGTGTCCGTCAAGGGTGCCCTGTTTTGTCATTCCTGTTCAATTTCGTCGTAGACGAAATATTGGAGAGCGCACTAAGGGGACTCCAAAACGTAGGCATTAAATGAACAGCTGAAGAAAAGCTATGCGATTTGGAGTACGCCGTCTGTTCGAATGTATGGAGGATGCGCAACGCGCTCTTGACAGACTAGCAAGTTCTGTTTCTCCTTTCGGCTTTGCACCTTCAAAGTGCAAAGTGGTGCTACAGGATTGGGTGTCGTCTACCCCAGTGCTGATGCTTGAGGGTCAAGAATTAGCTGTAGNTGGAATGTTTAGTCCGAATCAATACCACGCCTGCCGCTGTGGGGTTTATTAGTTTTGCCACTGTCAGCTTTGATTGCTGTTGATCATGAGTAATCATTAGTCCCTTGTGACTATTGGTCACTAGTTTATAATAAATGCAGTATTGTTTAAACAGTCCCACGGAGCTCATAATGAGAACACAAATTGGCAAACAAGCCCGTTTTCAGTGTGTCTTAGTAATGCAGTATTGCACGAACCTGCTTTGCTGATTACAGCGATACATTTGAAGGTGTTGAAAAAGACTACCTTTCTATTCGTGCATACTATGGTATGTTGTGTTGTTATTCGCATGCATCTGAATCCAGACAGTGTCGCACAGTTTATGGTAAAATATTGCAGACTATGGTGTTCTTCTCGCCATGAGTGCCCTTCTACAATACCAATTTTCTTTCCGAAAGCAGTTTATTCTCTACCATGGTCAAGTGTCCTCAGCCTTAATGTGCAGTTTCGGCGTTCTTCTGAGTACCATTTTTGTCTCCTTTCTACTTTCTCCGTCTACTTTCTATACCTGTTTTGTAATGACTCCCTGATGACGTTATTTCCGGCTCATCTGATCCTCTCTGCTGTTTAGATGCACAACTTACAGCTTACCAAGTGTTCTGCTCATAACCTTCCTATGAACCAGTCTAAATGTGTTGGTATTTTATTTTCTCGCCTTAGGGGTAAATGATACTCGAGAAGTGCCAACTTCTAGTCAGAGGTCATCACTCAAATACTTGAGTTTAGAACATAATTTCAGGCGAACAATTGTTTTCAATAACTCATGCCATCACAGTTTATATGAGGGTCCACACCTAGGGTTTGGGAGGAGAACAATAAAATGTGAGGAATCGTTCACTTTGTGTGTGTGTGTGTTGCACACTGCATTCTTAGATCTGTGCTTCCGGAGTTTTCATTTACGTTGGTCGTGTGATCCTGTTTTGAGGGATCGATGTGAAAGTGTATTTGTGTCTGGGCAGGGGGACAGGGTGGTTTCGCGATCCCAAGGGAGATAGAGAGCTTGGATAAGACGCTTCTGAACACAGTTCGGGGGTCAAATGCTTAATACAGATGGCCTCGGCTATGGCCAACGTACGCAATCTGTTATATTTAGACCGGTTCGAGGGAACGTGATAAATAATGCGGAATGCTCCACTTGGGTTAACACGATAACTAGTGTCTACCAAGTGAACGAGAATCGAACCACCTTGACTCAGCCAGCGCGGATGGTGTTCTTTCATGCGGTTAGATGAATGCCGTGCCGTACGACTTGCGTAGAGTGCGTCACAAACGCAGCGTTGAACATGGCTTTTACTGCTCCGTTCAATGTGTTTTTCTTAACCGGTATCTCATTTAGTAGGAGCACATCAATGATGTTTTTGCAAAAGTCAAACTTTCTTTTTACTTATATAGCCTAAAACTTACCCATTTCCTAACATTGGGTAAAACAGTGTACACGCATCTTACGACACTGGCTGTATGCTTCCGCAGTGATATTTCCTGGTTTATTGCAAAAAGATATTTACGTGACACTTATCCGTGTGTTGCGGTTTATCCAAAGTTCACATCGTCCACCGCATTGTCTCCTACCACATCGAAGCTTGCAATAAGTTCGCTCAGATATTGTCTGATCACCACCCCGTCTTGATTCTACCCTATCTAATCTGTTCCTCTCCCACTTGCTCCACGTAAAAGCACCTTTCAGTATGTGCAAAGACATGCAGCTCCTTCATATTTTCTTATCTCGCGCCTTTTTATATCACATACCCAGATTATATTCTTTGTGATGGGTCTACAGCAGTAAGTGAACTTCGTGCTTCTAAACGCTTAAACTGCTTCTAGCTTTATCTATGAGACGTTTTGCAATAAAATTTGTGCCAGAGGTTGCAATAATATCTTGACTTATGTTTGACTGAACACCTCTTCTACCATTCATCAAACAATCATGCGTAGCAGAGCAATTCAGTGCGTAAACAACTTTTGATAAAATCCTACTTAGTTGTGAGGGAAGTGATGACTTTGTTTCATTTTTATTGACACAATTCAGAAGATCTTTTGCTTCGTTTAACTTTTTCTTTTATCGATTCCGGTGTTGTTAAACGGGTATGTCTGTGGTCTGTCTTTATTGTACTTTGGTATATTTGGAAAGTTCGCGTCCATCGTCGGCGTTCATGTTTCCCAATTATCCTGACCGTCTTTCTTTATATTTGTGCATAATTTTGCAAAATAAAGCTAGTCTGTCGTTCTTTGGTCTTTGAAATCCTGAATACTCTAATCCCGGATATACCACCATATTACAGACAACAAAATATAGATATGCACATGGAGTCTGCGATGGAACACTATCCGGAGACTTTTGGTCAAGTGTCAATGCTATTTGTAAATTGTAAAATTGGACAACATGACATCAAAGCCTTTGTGGATTCCGGTGCACAAAGTACCATTATGAGCGAGAGTTGTGCAAAGCGATGCAATCTGGAACCGTGGATCGATCGACGCTGGGCGGGCAAGGCTTATGGAGTCGGAACGCAGACCATAATCGGCCGTGTCCACAATGGACAGATTGAGATTGGTGGCGTATTTCTGCCGGTAAATGATGAACACTTTTTCATTGTTAGGGTTGTTCATATGTATCATCTCCACCTTTCCCATCAAGCTTTAGTCAAAACTCGAAGCCCTTTAGCCTCGACCCCCCACTATCCTTTAGCCTTGACCCACATTCCTTTAGTTTGAAACTGCAATGCCTTATCCACGACCCGTATTGCTTTAGCCTCGACGCACAAACTTTGTTCACGCCGCAGTAAGCGACTCAGATCAAAAAGTATTAGAATATTCTGAAGTCAACGAATGTTGAAAAAAATTATTCTTTACAAATTTTGATGTCGCAAAGCTTAGTTAAGAAATAACAAGGTGTGGCGGTCGCACGCTGTACCACATGTTGACTGAAGAAGGTTTAACCAATGTGCCCGTATTGTTAAACCATTTAACATATCTCTTACAGCTTCACTGTTTCCGTTTCAGAGGTGTACTTTGGGCGCTAAGGTTCGCGGTTCGAATCTTGCCACCAACATTCATCTTTGTTGGATGGAGGCTTAAGTGCTTGCAAGAATTGTTTGTTTTTTGGGAACAACGAATGAACAAACAACTATGCAATCATTGTTAATTGTGAATCTGGTATTAAGAGGGATATTAATCCCAGTAATCTGGAATGTTAACTTTTCTTTCTTGAAGACGATTTCCCCCTAATTAGTGATATATTCAGTGATATACTGGTATGAGTACGAATAACTGTAAACGAGGGTTTTCGCTCTTATGTATTGTTTAAATTGTGCTCTATGAGAGTATTGAACTAGCCAAAAGTAAATGTTTGGATAATTTTACTGATAAGAACAATTACTATGATCAATTCAGTTTCGGAGTACGTCGCTTTTATCATACTCCATCCACTGTCCTCCAAACAGATAGTGAAAATCAGGCTGGTTTTAGACCTGGTCACGGATGCTTCCACAGTATTCGTTAAGTGCTTTCACACAGAGACATTCTTTCCATAGACCCACCTTTTCTATATTCCTTGATCCAAAGTTGGTCTCCGGTTCAATCTACCGCGTCGTACCCGGGTGTTTCCTCTCCTTTAAGAGTATTTCCGGGAAGTTTCTATCCATAGAAATCTCTGTATTCACGCAGCTGAAACCCAGTGCGAGCTTGCTGCTCTTTCTCACCCTAGTTCACCACGGAAAGCAATGAACGTCAGGGCTTCCCCGTTCCTTTTTTACTTCTCAATTCTGTATTGACTATAGATTTGGGTTTGGTCCTATCTTCGTTCGAGATAGATGGTGTCGAAATTCTCCCTGGTGACAGATTTTCTGTAATTACGTGAATGATAGTTTACTGCTGACTGAAGATCCAGGTAAGTTGCTTTTCTTCTGGATGCTAGAAGTTTAGTTGTAACTATATTGAGCACCTTCAGAAAGTGTAGAATACTGTTATAGGAGTGGGTTTGTTCAGCTGCCAATCTCACTTAAACGCTACAGTCAGTATATCGAGTAAACAAATTTCGCTACATGGTTAACTGCATCTCGGATGGAGCCCGGACCCGCATACAGGAAACTTAATTGGTCTTTGCCTAAGACATTTTTGGCACCTCCCTGAAGGGTGCAATATATACTGCAGCTATTTGGTGCCAAGAACCGACCGTTCCGAAAGAAGAATAAACATGAACTATCAATGTTCGAGCACCACTGCATACGCCACATTGTAAGAATCCGATGAAACGATCGGGTCCACAATACCGAGATCAGGCGCAGAGTTTTCAGTTTCAGTTTTTACAACCATTAACAGTACACTTTTGTGCGCCAGTTTTGGTTGCTTTTTTGGCCGTCCATTTGGATAAAAGAGTAGGATGAAGGTTAGGATGTTGAAAGACAATTCAAGTGGAAGATAGGGAATTCATATAGAGTGGTGTTAAGAGATAACTGAGTAGATGTATGAACGCCACTGTTTGCGACACCCACCCATATAGCTCCGTATCTCTAACCATCGGTGACCAGGTGCAGAGTGCTAAGTAATCGTATTCGTTTAACACCGCAATTGTTTATTCTCTTCAGGTTGCGATGATTGAGGCGTGTATTACGCATACCTTTGGATAGAACAGCTCGGTGTGCGACATTTACCCAGACAGGGAGTAGTTGTA